GGGGGGGGGGGGGAAGAGAGAAAGAGAAAGAGAATCACTCTCGTTACTCTACACCGGTATCGGTATTTTAGATTTCGCATTTGGCGCGGTCCGGTGACACTTTGTGTTGACTCCGCGATAAAGAATTTATGCGTCGCTAGATTCAGTCCTGCCACAGGACGCGACAGATCGCTACACACGGTTTTCGCGAAGACAAGGTGACACGTACAAGGTGACACAGAAAAATACATATTGCATTCAAGTAAATATTACTTGTTTGAAGTAGAAACATTTGAAATGAACATGAATAGAAGTAAGAAACATTTATCCGTATGGTACCTCATAAGTTTATGTATCCGCAAATCTATAACAAGTTTATCACAAGCGTCAAATTTATTCGAAATACATTCTAAATCCTCTATTAGGTTTACAATTACAATAAAAAATATTAAATTGAAAATTCGGTTTGCTTACTACGCAAAGTCGAGCAAACTTTTTCTTCGTAGAAGTTTCATAATATTCTTGTAAAGAGAGCAAACTCTTTATGAGTTTTTCTCAAATTTTACATATAAAATATATATCGAGTAACGTATCTTCGTTCAACCGCGCGCTATGTAATCTCACTTAAAAATTTACATGTTAAAAATAAAGGTATTTTCAAAACAAGAATTTTCTTTTTTTCTATATATATTTTAAGAGTATTACCAAAGAGAATATTCTTTGTTTGTTGAAGATAATCATTACTTAAGAGGAGGAAAGTAAACTGAGCGATCACTTGTCTTAGCAATAGAATAGTATTTTTCTGTGTGTATATACGCGCGGCGTGTCTCAGCTCTTCGATTACGACTGTTTAGTGAAATAGAAATCGGTTCGACGGCGACGACGACGGCTCGTAATGCAACGAGTGGTGATATGCGCGAAGTTTCTTCTCCCGGCATAAAAAACTATCGCGAAAAGTGAACGCTTTTTGTGCGCGAGCACGCACGAAGGTGGAGGAATAGGAAAATGGTGAACAAGTGGGAACAACAACGAGGAGTCGCGACGAGACGAGGCAAGGCAACGCCGAAGTCGTGACCGTCGTGCGTGCTTCAGCCTAAGGTCATGGCCAAAGGTATCGTCAAGAACAACAACGGTGGATGTCCTCTGCACTGGGTCGACAATTCCGCCGGGCAGCCCAGACATCTTCTTCGAGCGGCCGCCCTCTACTTGACAGTACTGGCCGCCTTATGGTGTATTCCCACATGCCTCTATCATCGGTGAGAGGAAAACGTTGTATCAAGATCGTCTCCTTGCGTTAGACCTCGGCACGGAATCCCTTCGAAATGTTGGCGCGCGCTCAACGATCATCGCTCGCCTCTTAGACGAATATAAATTCTTTTTTTTCTTTCGCGGCTAGAATGCGTCTTCAGGAGACTGAGATCTTTAAAGAGTTTCGGTAGTTCGTGCTCGATTGAACGGGAGAAGTTTGTTTCAAAAGATACATTACTGAGGAGTGATTTAACATATTTCTCGGTTCAAAACGATCCGCGGAGACAGATCTTCATGTGGGAATCTAAATGTATTTATGCAGAAATGTATGTGTACCCGTGTCTGTTAATATGAACTGTTATTTTGATTAGAGTATCGATCGATTTGTTAATTGATGCGTAATATATTCTAATTGAAAGTGATTTCGTTAACGTGGGATAGTGATTACTACAGCAGTTATATATTTCGCATATTCGCGAGTACGATACGTTCCACTGAGGACTGCAATCGAAGATTCTATCGTACGTGTATAGATTCCTCTCGATTCATTCAGTCCTCATTAGCATGCATCATACGTTAAATGTATACGATATTAAATTACGCATTGCCATTTTGTAATAGCGAAAAATTCGATGCATCGGAAAATATCCTTTCGTTTCGTTATTCAGGAGAGTGTTACAGTCTGTTACTCGCTATTATGCACGCCACGCGGGCTAGTTGAAATGCAGCGGAACTCGTTCCATAAGATTACTAAACGGAACCAGTCGAGATGCGCAGTGAAATGCCATCTTTGCAAAGATACGTCACGCTGCACGGCAGAGTGTACGATTTGCGGCGTGAGCATCGCCAATAACGAGACAACGCGATCCTCTCTGTTCATAGAATCTCCGAGACCGGGCAGGCGGTGGTGCTGACGCTGGTGGACACTGCAGCGGCGGAGTTGCAGAGCTTGGCTGAGCCAAAGATCAACCGGGAGTTGTCTTCGAGGTCATCCACGAAGAACTCTTCTCTGCTGAGCGGCGGTGTCGGGCAGCCTGAGCTGAAGGAGACATTACCTACGACGCAGATCCCACCGCCACCAACCGTCGACGACACGACGGAGTCGCCAAACATCACCGATGTCGAGCAGGACGAGGTACTCCTCCTGAAAAAGATCTCCGAGGAGACGCCGGAAGTCGTGGTGATCGTCAGAGCTGAGCAAAAGATCAACGTGAACGACTTGGAACTGAGGGTAGAAGATGAGGTCGGCCATGTCATGTCCGATGAGATGCCCAGGGTTGACGACACGTTCACCACGGCGTCAGAATTGAACGACACGGCAGCCCGGGCGCAATTGGTCGGCGGTAGCAGGGACGAGACCGCAGCAGTTATACTGGACGGCCTCGTTTCCTCAGGTCCTACCGATCCGCATGAGGATATACCTTCCTTCAGCGAATGGGCACAGAAGCGTTTGGAAGAGGCAGAAAAGAAGAAGAGTGAGCGTCCTCGTGTCTAACTAGGATATTTATGAAATCATTCGTATCAAAGATATCATTTTGATATTTTTATAGATGATCCAAGTCGAATTCTCTTATATTCAGACCGAATTTTTTTCCATGGAAATCCTCAAGAAATGAAATTTACGCATTAAGATCAAAAAGTATAATTCGATTTTTAATAGACATCATATACATGTAATACAGAGCAGGGTAAATAATTAATCACTTTTCTCATCAATTATTGTGTCTTTAAAACGATTAATGTGAGTCAATTCAACTGGAGACCGTTTAATTGACAATTTATTTCAACAAATTCAATCAAAGACCGTTCAACTGATGATTGATCTTAATGAATGTAATTAGTTGAATTGAAACATATTTATTCAAGTGAATTATTAAACTGAGGAAGATTTAATTAATATCAACTGATATATAGACATCATTGTTAATCATTTTCTATACCAGATTCTTAATAAATAAACTTTGTTAAAGGGATTTTATGTAGAAATCGAAGATTGTTGTACAGACAATTTGGTCTACAGTAGCCAATATGTTTTACAGCTCATCCAAATGCCTCCGTGCAGACACCAGGTGGCCCAGGACGAAGTGTGAGCGGCATGAAAGTACGTTCCAAGAACTACGCCTCGCCCGACTGCGGTGCCAAGATCGTGGCGGTGAATCCTGAAGCCAGTGGTGCCAAAAACGTTCTGGTGTCCACCAGAGACGAATATATGCTGAACGCATGTACGTCGCGCGTTTGGTTCGTGGTCGAGCTCTGCGAGGCGATCCAGGCGAAAAAGATCGAACTGGCGAACTTTGAGCTCTTCAGCTCGTCGCCGAAGGACTTCTCCGTTTATGTGAGCGACCGCTTTCCCACCAGAGACTGGAGTCCGGTCGGTCAGTTCACGGCTAAGGATGTGAAGGATGTTCAGAGCTTCGCGCTACATCCTCATTTCTTCGGTAAATTCATCAAAGTTGAGCTGCAATCGCATTATGGATCCGAGCACTTCTGTCCCGTCTCGTTGTTTCGCGCTTACGGTACCAGCGAGTTCGAAGTGTTGGAAACCGAGACGGAAGATCAGATTCTGCAAGAAGCAAACACAAACGAGGACGACGACGAAGACAGCGACGAAGAGGAGCCGTTGGATAGCGAGGACGGCGATCCGTCAAGAAATCTTTTTGGCAGCGCGCGAGATGCCGTGCTGAGTATCGTGAAGAAGGCCGCGGAGGTTCTGGTCAAGTCCAGTGATCTTACCGGGAACAACATCACGGAGATTCAGCATAGCATCGACGGAGATAACATCCTAGACAACTCGTATACGAGTTGCATGACACCCAGGTACACGATTCTCTGCGGCAACTGCACTGATCAGCAGTTTGCCAGTGTTTTTCAATTGGTAAGCTGCAGAGACCGCCAGCTGGATGGTTTACTGAAGATCGATCTGGTGAACAGAACTTTGAGAGACAGCAAGCTTTGCGGCCTTCACGGCATAGAAATCGACTCGTTTTGCCAGAAGGAAGAGGGAAGGTTCGCAGAGAGCCAGCGTGACAACGCGACGCGATTTGATTTGGCGCAGGATCTCCAAACGAACTTTTTAGCATCCGTCTTTAAGCCCGAGTATATTGTGGCGTTGTGCAACGTCCTAGCGACGAAGGAGCGCAAGATGGTGATGAACACGAGCTATGAGATCTCCGTGAATACTTCTGAGAATGTCGTCAAAGAGGACGTTTTGTCCATCAAGGACACCGATCAGAACAACGAAGTCGTCTCGCATCATCAAGTAACCGCCACGTGCACTCTAGATTCGAATTCTCCCGTGTGTAAAACTGCACCCTCCAGGGAGAACCGACGGCGCGCTACGCAAGATGTCAACGAGGAAACCGAGAACATCAGCACGACAACCATAGAGACTTCCACCAGTACGGAGAGCTTGGCTTCGCAGATCAAGCCCACAAAAACGCTCAGCAAGGAGGACTTGCGTAAGGAATCGTCCATGCCGATCCTGGAACCTAGCAAGGAACCCACGGAAGAGACGTTGCAGGCAGAGTCGCTGACGACTGTTGCCCCGTCATTGAACTTACCGACACCGACTTTAAAGATTGCCGAGGACCTGCCACCAATCACGGGTACTTCTGTCGAGATGGTGTCGCAGACCGTGACCAACGTTTCGCCCGTGAATATCGACAGTCAAGAAACCGCCGGCGACTCCTTCATACTTGATATGGAGAGCGCCGAGATGGGTGTGCAAGTTAAAATGGAGAAATCGGAGAGTGCCGAGCAAGACGGGAAACAGACGAAGGATTTGAGTGAGCAAGAAGTTAAATTGTCGTCACAGGATCATCTCACGTTGGATACATTGTTTTCCGATTTGAAGGACTTTGAAGGCGACACGGCTAACATACAGAACGGAGCATCCAGCGCATCGTCAATTACTCAACCCACAGCGAACACGGCACCTCAAAAAGAGTCCGTTTTTCTCAGATTGTCCAATAGAATAAAGGTGAAGAACGTTTAAAGAAAAGTTTCTTTCTTTCTGCCAAAAGTACTGTTCAAGGAATGTTTTAAATGAATCTATTTTCTTCTAGAAAATAAAGAAAATTTGTTAACTTTTAATTATAAATATTCTTTTATAATTAATGTTTTAGTAACATTGGCTATGATTTCTTTCAGGCTTTAGAAAGAAACATGTCGCTCAGCGGGCAATACCTAGAAGAATTGAGTCGTCGTTACAAAAAACAAGTCGAAGAAATGCAGCGCTCGTTCGAGCGCGCGGTGTCCGCGATGAGCGAGGAGTCCCGAAAGGGTGAGGAACGCGAGGCGAAGAGAGTGGAGGAGATCGCCATTTTGAGGGAGGAAATCGCTGTACTCTCGAAGTCGGTTCAAACCCTCCTTTACGACCAAAACAGCTGGCAGAGTCGGATAACGGCGATCGGCCAACACGCTTTGCTCATATGGTTCGAGGTCGTGGTCATTACTCTGTTTCTCTCTTATTGTCGTAGAACAAGTGATTTCGAGGAGGAGGAAAGAATCCAACTGAAAGACGCGAAGACGGAAGGCACACGACGTAAGAGCGCGGAAAATTTCGGTTCTCACGACGCGGCGAAGAAGACAAAGAAGCGACGGTCTAGCGAAATTGCTTCCCACATCAACACGTATCATGAGCTGATGATCAACGAACGATGCCATGAGACGAAGAAAGAGCGTAAAAAGAAACGCAAGAAGGAGACAGTCGCCGGCGGAACTAGAATAGCTGCTAATGTTGACGCGAGGCCGGAAGCGATTCGCCACAAGAGCGTATTAAACGCGATTCCTGGTGGTACGACGTTACCGTCGAGAAGAGCGTCTTCCATTGATTCTCCATGCTCCAAGGAATCGCACGATACGTCTGGCAGAAGGCCAGAATCCGCGCCTGAGATCATCAGCGGTTGGCTCGACGATCAAACTGAGAGAATAGAACGGACCACACAGCCTGTGCGTCTTAGGATAGAGCCGCACCGTAACGGAAGTTCTGATCTCAGTCATCATGCCGATGAGCTCAGCGAATCGAATTCATCGTCAGGGGCTGTAGATCAGTCCCTCGAAGGGTCGGTCACGAGCGAGCGAAGGATTGATGTGTTGAAAAACAGCTCGTTCAGGACCAGCGGTATCCTCAAGAACGCCAAGCTGAGTTCACCCTCTTTCATGAAGACTGCCTTGGGTACAAGAAGTAAACGGAGACTTTTATCGAACAGCGAAAAGTGGGATTGGAACCAAGACTCGGAACATTCGAACAGCATATCTATCCCATCCACACCAACGGGCCCGTTGCTGCGGACCAACGACAGCGCGAACGGCAGTGCCGCACGCGGCTTGATAGAGGAGAGCGACGAGTCAAGGAGCAGCAGCGCGACACGCACATCTAATAAGAAAGAGAAGAAAAGCACCGGCCTGAGGAAAATGGTGAGAAAGTTTTTCTGATTGAAGTAGACTCGCCAAAGATACAGGCTGAACTGGACCACTAATATTCACGTCGAATCAATCGCCATGTAGACTGCGAGATTAAACCTTACTTATTGTCGCACGATGAGTTGAAGTAATCGATTTTAGCAGGAAACTCTCGGAGTTAGAAGGTCAAGCACAAAGCGGTAAGCCGAAGAAAAGTCGGGGGAATAAACGTAGGCGCAATACTCGCGCTCGGTGAAATCAAAAGCGGACGAATGGAGCTGATAAGAACTTCTCATGAACCGCAGTTACGATGTAAGATCGAAGGCAACGTGTAATTTGAAGAAGATGGAACTGTTATTTTGCAGAAAAATTGCATTTGTCTTGGGATCCGTTTTTGTTTTCCTGTATTGCCAACTGAAAATCATTTACACAAAAATGCCAAATGCTGTAAATCAAGACAGAAGCTAATTCGCGCGGCCATCAAGTTTGGGAAACCAATCCGGTCATGTCTATCATTATGTAGAAGATTAGAAATGATATTGTGCTTCTCATAGCCGATATGTTCCTCTCTCTTCCCAGTGTTCATTCTTGATATTTCAATAGTATCGTGCAGATCTGTAGATGTTAATTAGTCTCATACACACAGTTCCATGCGTAGAAAAGGAGAGATAGATTAGTCCTTGGTAATGGAAAGGACAATATGATAGTGAATGCAAACTAAGACTGCGAAAATTCTTATAAGTGTCGCACAGCGATATTTACGACAATGCGCGTGTATGATGAAATGTGTCGTTATCACAACTACGTTTCACTTGTCATTAACAAAAATACCACCCGTGATATCGGTTTGACGTATGAATGAAATGCAGATTTTGCCACGGAGAGTACTACGATGTGTTAATTATAAGCGTGAAATTACGGTTTAGGAGATTATACCACTGTTGCGAAGAACAAGATTATTTATAAAAATGTAGACTAATTTATGTGTAGAGTGTATGTTATATGTATATAAAATTGTAAGAGAGAGAGATATCAATCTTGTTCAACGCAACAGTAGTGACTACAATGATCTAAAGAACGTTTCTACGTTTTTTTAGGTCATCCGGATTATCTAATTTTTACCTATTAACCATCGCCAAAGAGAAAGAGAGGGAGAGAGAGAATGAATGAGTGAGATGTCGTGAGTGAAGTCTTAGAACATCAGTAGTAGCTGTTGTAGTCAAACCCATTATACAGTATAGTCCAAGTACGATCCATTCGCGACTTTAGTAGCTAATTGAATCCATCGTCGGTAGCGGATGCGAATATGCAAATCTAGAAAGACCTCTACAGAGTGCTTCGATTCCTTCGCTAGTAGCATCCGATTCACTCGACATTCTTACGGTCTTTACATTGTAGCAATAATTATGATGCAAGAGAGAGAGAGAGAGAGAGAGAGAGAGAGAGAGAGAGGGTAGAAGAAACGTTTAGTTAACTAATTTTATTTAATTATCGTAAATTATGTAGCGCGAAGGAATCGACCATGCGAAAAGAAGTTTCCTCCTCCCGTCTTCCGTGTGCGGGAAGAGTGAATAATTAAAATCCGATTTCATGTGCTTGAAGAATCGTTTCTGAATTCGTAATTACTACTTCAATTTCTAATATTCGGAGTGTTGGCATGGTACTTTACAAAGAACACATCAAACTTCCAATGAAGTGTGTTTTACATATTGACATACTATGTATGTACTTGCGTGTATAATATTTGGTTCAAAGCGTCTGGTCCCATTGCTATGAAACTCTGGAATAACGTCAGATGCGAAAACACGCGTGACAAAAATTCTTGCATGCCATTTTCAAATAATAAAATATTTGTATAAAAGAATATTTGAGATCACATGAGCATATTTGTAAAATGCTTTGAAAAATATCTTTTTCCTAATAATTTTGCCACGTTGATTTTAAGGCTATTTAGTGACTGTCAAGGGAAATAGGCAGTTTTCGGAAAATTCTACAAGTATGCTCAAGCAATCACAAGTGTTCTTTCATACAGATAATTTTTTTATTTGAAAATAGCACACAGAAATTTTTGCTATATGTTTTCTCGCTTCTGACATAAATCCAGAGTTGCGCAACAGTAAGATCAAGAATCTTAAAATCTTGGTTTGTACCTTGCTTGTCTTCATGCTAATCCCTCGATCTATACGAAGTGTGCAAGTATCATGTTTTACGGAGTACGCCTTAGATCTAAGTCAATATTTATAAAAGAAATCGAAGGTTCGGCAACAAGAATTAGATAAATTTAGTATGCCTAATGAATAAATTACTCGCTGTTTTCAACATGTAACGTAACGTTAAATCGTCGTGGTCTCAGTTTGGCTGCAACAAACAATTATGTTGTACACATGCCTAAGTAACAGTAGCTTTCTTTTGCCAAAATGTATTTTGATTGTAAAAAAGACAACGTTTTTCGTTATCTATTTCTTTGGCGGAACGTACGAGAGAACTTGATGAAATGTTTAAATATCTTTGTTTTCCTTCACTTTCGTGGAGCAAATAACCGTAGCGTTTTATTTTTTCAAGCTTTTTCTCAACGTGGACTTTTGATTATCGCACCATCGAAATGTTTCCTTTTTCGATGTAATAACTATACTGAACATTTGCCGCGAAGATATTCCGAAGATTAACAACGATCGTGCCAGCATTTTGTATTTGATAAAAGAATGCGCTGTGATAAACCCTCCTGAAATTTGCTACATACAGCAAAACGGAAATGAATAGGGAGAATTACGGAGAAGAGAAAAGTAAAAGGATACAGAGTACGGACGAGGAAGCAGAAAATGAAAAGGAGGAGTAAACATTCAGAATGACTTAAACTTTGATAGAAGACGTGTCCTATTACTTAACGTGCATTTAAAGACTATATATAATAGTTGAAGATGTATGCATATGATATATGTATATATATATATCACATATGCTTAAATATAGCTCGAGCTTTTTTTCGAGCATCTCGTAAATATATTTTCTAGGCTTTAAGTCATTGTTACGCGCATATCGTTAAACTAGTGATTATTTATACGTAATGTGATGAGTACTAAATTTTATCAGAATTACCATGCTTTCAAGTGGAATCGTCATTGCCATTGATCATAATCCTAACGAAGTGATTTTTGTATAGCTTTTGTGGAGCGATGCAGATCACAATTAACGAAAAAACGAAGCTCATTTGCCAAATTCATTCTTACATTTAGCAACAATATTTATTCTTTCTCTAATTTAAAAGAATAAACCTCGTAATTTAATTATAAATGATATTATTTATTTGTAATTTGTTAACAGAGAGAAATGTACACTCTCTTATTAGAATAATATTTATAAGAGAACATACTATTAAATTTAATATTAATTTTTCATAAAAAAGAAGACATGCAAATCAAGTGTAATGTTTTAGGATAATCTAAAATATTGAATACGTTCGTTTTTATGTTAAGATTAATAAAATTATTGATCTGATAGAATCTAGGATCAAATATGTAATCAAATATCGTGCATTCGTACACACGAAGGAAATTTCTCTCTCATAATTCGAATATAATAATGTCGCAAAGCGATCGAGGTAAACGAGCTACGTTATTTTCGTACGACTTCTGCTAGTCTGTAACCGCAAGACACAATGTTGTTTGTATCATAAATTTAATTTTTTGTAGAAAGTAATCCGGGGCGAATATGCGATATTTTAGTCTTTATGAGTATTCGAGTGATTAGAAATTAAATATCACGCATGTTCGAACGGATTTCTTTAAATAGATATGTACAGGAAACTGTAAATATATCGTAGAGCAAGTGAAGTGATGATCAGTATCGCGAGACACGATAATATCCCTAATTATACATGCATAAAACATTATTCCATGTGGAGCTGTTCGCGAATATTAGATGCCGTTGTCATAATGGAACTGCAACATCACGATGAAACGAGGACATTATTTTAGCGATACAAAGGAAGCATATTCATTAAATAGGCACACTTATTTATTAAAGATCTTTGCTCCCTCTAATTTTTCTATGTTTTTAAGAATCCGCAACAAGGAGAGTCGTATTCCATTACGAATCGTTGCCATTATGAACATTAGGATATGTTGAATATTAGCCAATGTTGAGCAAAATGTATTAACGAATATCGAACAACATATTTTAAATATATATATGTGTTATATTTCATAATGTTTATTCGCACTATCACACACACATATATTTATATATTGTACATTCAATATCGTTATTCGTCATTCGTTTATACATTTTAACCCCGTGAAAGTAAGGTCTTGATATTAAATAATAATAATAGATAATGAATATTCATTCGCTCAAATCCCATTTGTTTACGTCATATTATTTTTTTTTTATTTATTAAGTTGTATGTATCTATGTTATAGAGTGAAAATTGTTAATTTTTTTACTTGTATGTTTATAAATATTTATTTTTCTTTTGCTATAGACGAATGTTCTCCCTCCCTTGCAGTTTCGAGATAAAACTACAATATATTTGAATGGATATTCGAATGAGTATCTTCGGATAATCATCGAAATTTTATATTAGAATGAGTATAAGAGAGAATTATAAAAGTATGTGTGTGGCTGGAGAAAGAGAGTATACTTAAGATTGTTTGCGCCTATTGTTGAATGTTTAGTCAATTATTGTAACGATTGTTACTTATGCGCCTGAATTTTAACCATCGCTTGTAATTACATTTACGTTTGTAAATATATGAAAGTAATGCACGTTGCGCATATAATGAATTGATGAAAAAATAAAGTTGCCAAAAGACTCATCATATAATATACACCATATATATGTATATATATATATACACGATTTCTATATATGGTTTCCTTCTTTAACCTAACTATATATGTATATAGCTAACTTTTTTTTTTACTCTTATTCAAAATTTTTATTCTATTTAAGTGAAAGATATATAATTTCTCAATGAGTTGCAATAATACGTTGGTCGAGTGTATACGTTAAGGCACAAAATATTACATTTATAATTTTAATTATTTTAATTATTTATTACAAGAAACGAGTTTGTACATAACGATCAAGACTCCATAGACAGACTTTTTAAAAGCGAGGAGAAGTCGGATGCTTCTCCGAAGGAGGTCAATTTTCTCGCAGCCGCTTGCTCGTTCAAGCCGATAACGGCGTGTTTCAATATATTCCTCCATTCTTTTGAGTCATTTTTTTCCACGAAGCACATGACAATTTCGTTTACTTCGTCGTGAATAGCGTAACAAGCGATAGATTGGAACACCGACTTCAAATCGTCCTTCGCTTTCTGTTTTAAGCTCTTGTCTCTACTGACTAGATTCAAGATGAAAATACCATTTTCCGTCAAGCAGGCTGCGACGGCTTTCAGCACTGACATCTCCAGAAACTGCTTGGGTGGACAACTCATTCCAATTGTGGTATCTTTACTGTCGATGTCGAAGAGTATAGCTTTGTACTTTTTCTCACATGTCGCGGCGTCTTTGATAAACTGGATTCCATCCGCGATCTCCACTTTCATCCTGTCGTCGAGAGTAAGGTTGAAATACTCAGTGGCCACTTTCAACATCGCATTGTCGATTTCAATCGCGGTAATTTTTAACTGAAAAAATGAAGGTTTCAATTTATCATGCATAAGAAGGAGGTCTCTGATCGCTCGTGGTGGTGTTAAATCCAACGAAAAATGTCGTACGTACTTTGGGAAAACAGTGATGCAAAAACATACAAAGTCCACCACCTCCGAGTCCTATAATCATGATCTCATCCGGCTCTTTAGTATCTATCACTGCGTTCACACCGGCACTCATGTATACGTGATGCTCACAAGCTAAAAATCCAGGATCAGCGATCTTCTTCTTTTTGCCACGTCTGGATTTCACTGTAAAGAATCACGTTGTCAGATACAATCATTCTTTGCGTATTGATACGTACCTTCCTTTAATCTAGCTTCGCTCTGGATGACGTACGGATTATTCAAGAATACAAGCCGCCTGAACTCATGACCGCTTTTCTCCACTTCTTCGACAACAAACGGCCCGCTAATGTTGCTTTTTCCTTCGTAACAAGTGGTTCGAACTCCAACGTCGGATCCCAAGGCCAGGAAGGGAATATCGTTTTTGCCGCATAGACCAGCCGGTGCTAGATTGCGAACGCAATCCTCCAGCTCGGCTTTCATGCTGTCCCAACTCTCGAATTTGTGTTCTCTGCGTAAGGTGATGATCGCGAGCCTGTCTCGCTGTACGCTCTTCAAAACCTGCTGTCGTCCCTCTTTCGTACTAAACAACCAGTCCATCTCCCTGTCGAACCGAAAAAGAACACGTAAGATGAATGTCCCGACTAGAGACAGTTGTATCAGTTTTTTTAAATAAATCAGGTAAGACTCCTAGCTCCTCGCCGCGAAACTTTTGATTGATGGGAGGCGAGAAAATACATGACAAAAATTCTTACAAAATACGTTGAAGTAAAAAATGTATCCATAAAATGATTCTTGCAATCGATAGGATGCATCTGTTAAATAATAAATTGTTATACATTCATAGCTTCGTGATATATGACTCGACTGACATCGATGCGTAAATTCATCTTAGAGAAACGAAAGAAAAAAAGAGTGTTACACGTACTTTCCTTGTGGGACTATGAAAGCTGCATACGTTTTTGCATCGCGTGCACGCGGTTGATCGAGAACGTAGACAGTGTAGCGTGGATGCTTGTCGCCTGGTCGATACAGATCCAACGAAATCTCGCCCACGTCGGCGATGCTTCTCTTATGAAGACTGTTGCACACCAAGGCAGACTGTTGCGCGGACAATACGGCAGAGACTACGTCGTCTGTGGAAGACAATCGTTCAGGTGGGCCATCAACCAACGCCATCTCGAGAACCTATCGAGATTATAATTTATAAAAATAATTTGGATAAACTTGCTTACCCAGTTAATTAGCTAAGCAACGTGAGAGTCTAAGAATTTTTTCTAAGAACATACAGTCTGTGGTAGTTTGGTGAATTTCGTGGCAATGATCACAAAAACTGGGACTGAACTGCCTTCTTCCATTCGTGCCTTTGATTCTGCCTTGTGACATCGTGATATACGAAACATGAAACCTGAAGTAGGGAAATAAGACAAGACTTTCCGAAGAATGTGCTCCTGCAGCAACGATATGCAAATGTACCTGCCACCATTGCGCAATACTCGTGTGATTTCCTGAAACATATTTTGCCTGTTATTGAATCTTATGTGTGGTATTTATATTTGTATAAATTATGTAAAGCATTTATACATATAATAATTAGTAATTAGATGTACTTTAAAGTATTTGTCCACTGTTGATATTGTGACCTCCTTGGTATCTGGCATTAAAGCATCCAGTGTTCCCTTGTCCAGAACTACACTGAATTTCTCATTAGGATATGTCATTTCAGTGGCATCCATGTATTCATACAACAAGTCTGATCTTGTGCCATTATTAATATCTTGCATTTGTTTAATGACAATGTGTGATATATCGATATTAATGATATTTCTAGAAGGATAGAACAACATTGTAATTGTTAATAATCTGTTGATTAATATTTTTATAATCAATAATTGTGACTATAAGCAAAGGATATAAACAAGAAAAATTATATACCTGTATCCAACATCGTACAGTGACATACTTAGGGTAGAATTTCCACAACCAACAATTAAAATGTCATCTTTGATCTTGATATACTTTAAAAATATCTCACACAATTCTGGATATTCACCGTACCTAAATTCAAGAAGAACCAATTAGCACTACACATGTAACTATCCCAAAAATTGTTTTAAATTTTATTAACAATAGCAGAATAATATATATTTTTGTACCATTCAAAAGCTTTTTTACCACGTTTTTTGAAAAACGTGTTCCAGTATTCTGCATGACTGAATTCTTCATGTGTTTTCGGCAGGAGATTCATGTTTTATAAATTACAAAACACGCAATAAAGTTAGATTAGATTTTAACGTTAAATAATGTATACGAAACTTGAGTATATGTAGATCTGTTAGAAAAAAACGTGACACAAATTTGTAAAATGCGTTGTATAAATTTAAAGATAAAATCACAAATATTTTTCGTAGAATTTAATATTCACATTTTTGAACTAACAGTTCAAGAACACGTTTTCTGTGTTTATCAACTCTCACTTCACTTCAATAATTGGCTAAGACCCCCTTTACATTTAGTGTCTCTACGCCATTACTCCATTATTATCAACTCTCAAAGGGTGCGTTCAAATTCCCTACCCGGGTGCACTCTATTACTAGAAATACTATAGTATATGTTACATATACTATAGCACTTCTAGTATTAGAAGAGTGCACCCGGGTAGGGAATCTGAACGTACCCAAACAGGGCTGCGAGTTCGGGTAAAGACTGGTTTATGATGGCCATAATCTGTTAACTTATGCAGGAACCGTAAAAAATTGACCAATCAATCGAATTATACAAAAATAATCGACTGTGATTGGTCAATTTTTACAGTTCCGGCATAAGAAACGGATTACGGCCATTATAAACCGGCCTTAACTTTTAATGCGTTCGTTTGGGCGCTTAAGTCATTCTATCTTTATCGCTCATTACCTGTGAGAAAAAGATAGAATGACGCTCACAGCGCAAAGCACTCAAAGCGAACGCATCAAAAGTTAAGGGACGTCTACAATGGAAGTAAATAGTAAGAAGTAGGAAGTAAGTCTAAGAAATTGACCAACCACAGTCGAATGTGAGAAGAATAATCAACTATGATTGGTCAATTTCTTATGGCTCCTGCACACAGGGGTGCGTTCGAAAACATCACCCGTGTGTATTTTGTCACACTCAGATCGTTCGAAAACCCCTAGTGGGCACACTGACCATGCGACCATGGCCGTTCGAAAACCGTACTCCGTGGACCACTCGTGTGACTTTTCTCCACTCTCTTTTGCGCGGTGTGAATCGGTGGAGATGGTGGAGAGTGCGCAAAGAGTGCAATACAGTATGAAATTACTAAATTATTTATGGTTTTTTGTTCTTCGAAACATTCGTACAACCATTAGCCATCACGGTAAGATAAAAAATTTAAATACAGCAGTGTAGGTTAGCCAGGTTTAGGTTTATTTCTATAGTGATGTATATTGTCAGAATATTGTCTTTAAATATAAATAAAGCTTATTAAGCTTTTTGTA